GATTTGTTCCCTTATTTTGAAAGGGTTAAAAAGATGTTACATGTTTTGGTGTAATTTTAGTACTCGTATTAATTCTGTCACATCTCTGTAAGCGAGGATGAAAAGAGAGTGCTCAATCACTGTTACTAGATCCATATTCTTGCAGAGAACAAGTCTTCAAAAGGCAAGTTTTGATGACGCTTGGGTTTTTTTCCCCTTTTAATTTCTTTTAAATAACAGCTTTATTGAGTGAGAATTCACCTACTACCAAATTTATCCTTTTAAAGTGTACAATTCCGTGGTTTTTAGTGTATTCATAGACTTGTGCAACCATCACCATTATCTAATATCAGAACATTTTCATCACCCCTGAAAGAAACCCCACCCCCATTATCAGTCACTCCCCTTGCCTCCACACCTGCCCCCCACCCACAGCCTGTAGCAATCAATATTCTATTTTTGCCTCCGTGGATTCATTTTCCTGTTCTGAATAATTCATATTAGTAGAATCATACCATACCGTGGTCTTCCGCATTCGTTTTCTTTCCCATCACATACTGTTTCCAAGGTTCATCCGGGTTGTGGCCTGTGTCAGTACTTCATTTCTTTTTATTGACAAATAATATTCCATCGTATGGATATGCCACATTTTGTTTATCCATCAGTTGATTGACATTTTGGTTGCTTCTACTTTTTTTTTTTTTTTTAATTTGAGACAGGGTCTTCTTCTGTTGCCCAGGCTGGAGTATAGTGGCGCAGTCATAGCTCATTGTAGCCTCAACCTCCCAGGCGTGAGCCATCCTCCCGCTTCAGCCTCTCCAGCAGCTGGGACTACAGGCATGTGCCACTATGCTAAGCTAGTTTTTTGTAGAGACAGGGTTTTTCCATGTTGCCCAGGCTGGTCTTGAACTCCTGGCCTCAGGTGATCCTCCCGCCTTGGCCTCCCAAAGTGCTGGGATTACGGGCATGAGCCACTGTGCCCAGCCACTTCTACTTTTTTGCTATTATGAATAATGTTACTATGAACATTTGTGGAGAGGTTTTTGTGTGGACATGTGTTCCTAGTTCCCTTGGGTATATACCTAGGATTGGAATTGCTGGGTCATAAACTATTTTATCCTTTTGAGGAACTGCCAATTGTTTTCCAAAGTGACTACACCATTTTTCAATCACTCCAGCAATGTAGGAGGGTTCCAATTTTTCTACATCTTCAGCAACACTTATTGTCTTTTAAATGTTATTTCTTCTTTAATGAAAAACCTTCATTTATGCACGTGGTAACACACACACACACTTACAATGGAAAGCCAAAAGTCTCCAGCCCTGTTTCACCCCTCCTTAGTCCAAGTCCCATTCCCAGCAAACCATCTTCCTTTTTGTTTTTAGTTTTTCCATAACTATCATTATAATTCCAAAGATTTCTTGATTCATTCATTATTGTTTTTTCTTTTTATTATGAAAACTTTCAATTATGTATAAAAGCAGAATAGTATAATCAACCCCCTGTACACATCCCCAGCTGCAACAACTGTCAATCTATGACCACTTTTACCAACTGTTTTTTGCTTTATCAATGTTAGATATCGTATATTTATTTCCCTATTGAAGAAAGAGAATTTACCTAATTTATTCTACCTCTTCCAAATTTTTATAGTAAATTATTTTTCATTCTTCTATTATCTTTGTGATTTTGATAAATCCCTAAACCTTGTGTTCTTGTTCCATCCACCGTAGACAGTGTTATTTAACTCCCCCTTCTCCATGCAAGCTGGAGATAGCAGTGCCCACCTCTCTTTCTTTTCTTCTGCTTTCCCCTCCCAGCTTTTTCCAGCTATAGCTCTTATATTGTTCCATGGATAGCAATTTGTAGTCTGTTCTCTAATCATCATCAAGTCTTGTGCTTTGTCTATTGGTTGGTTCTAAGACTTGAGAGTCAAGATAATTTACATTATTACGACTTTAAATATCATTCACTGTAGAGCCATGTGGTGCACTGAGGATTACTTCTTTTTTTCTGTAGACTCAGTGTAACAATCCTTGTGCCAATGGGGAAGAACATTTTAGACATCCAGTTGATACCTTTTCTGTTCAGAAATATATGGTAATCCGTAGCACTCATGGACCCACAGTGTCTTATTTACATCTTGTGTGGCCTTGTATTCTTTAATTATCTTGTGCGTTATATCCCTAACTCGAGAGGGAGCTCCTTGAGGGGGAAGTGGTCTTTCCTGTTTTGCTCCCACAGCATTTATAGTCTCTTGGCAAATTAAATTGATTTCCCTAAAAGTTGCAAACCATGATTTCATTTGTCAAGTAAACATAGCCAATACCTTAAATGCCATTGCTGTTAGATTCTATATATACTTTATTTTATGATGAGTTATAAATATATAAATATTTTAAAAATAAAGCTATTAAAAACTCATAAATTAAAATATTCAGCTCCGACACTTTGAATATTTCTCTTTCATGATCGTCTTTAGCCTTTCCAAGAAGTCTTCCAACGTACTCTGGCTGGCTTCCTTCACAGGACAGGAGCTCTACAAAAGAAGCATTTAATTAGCTTGCATTGGTAATCATTTGTCTTGCCTGTCTACTTGATCAAGCCTACTCTGGCACTTGCCACCTGAACACTTACCAAACCAAGGCCTCCAGTCTAGCCTGACTGGGAGTCGTCTCTATCACTAGGCCAGCAGGTGTTGCCTGTTTTGGGTGCATACTACTTACACTTCTGGAAATGGTTACTGTATACCATTACCTATCTGCTTTTGGGGTGGGCAGGGTGGCGGGGAGTGCAGTCTCTGGAGAGGTGTGTCACAGCTAGGTGCTTGCTCAGAGGGTGGAACTTGAAGGTGCTGGCTCAGACCTGCCCGTGCTCTACTGGGCCTTCTGCATGGCTGCCTGGACTGCTGAGAGAGATCAGTCATGTGGCCCTCCTGTCATTAAACAGCAGCACTGCAGCACAGCAGCCCTAAAGGTGGGAAGGATTCCAGATGCTACCCCCAGGCCACTGCTTCAGTTTGAATCTCAGCTCTACCATTTATTTATTGTATTGCTGAGAACGTACTACTTAATTTATAAAAGCTTCAGTTTATTTTGTAAAGTCAGGACAATTGTTTGCCTACTTGCCTGCTTCATAAGATAATGGAGAGAATTAAAAGAGAACATGTGTTGTGCCAAGTTCCTATCCCATGACGTATCCCATTGTCTACAAGGTGATAGGCCCAAAGAAGGGATACATGTCCTTGTTCTCTTCTAAAGCCAATTAATTCCTCCACTCGATATTAGATAACATCCACTCTGGGCCACAAGGACTTCTGCCCTCTAATGATTCCTCCTCTTTCTCCTCTCTTCAGTTCTCCCTACTCCACCAGACCGTTCCCCCAGGTGCATTAGCATGCTGGGTATACACCCCACCTTAAAAGAGCTTCCCTCACTCCATAACTGCCCTGCAGCCATGGTTCAGTTTCTCTGCAGCCTTATAGCTAAACACCTTCAAAGAGTGTTCTGCCCTCACTGTTCCTTCTTTGGCTTCTCTCACCGCCCCATCCTCGGTGAGCCCACTCCAGCTGGACTTTCCTTCCTGCTTCTCCATTTACATCAGCCTCACCCACGACCTCCATCAGTCAAACCCAGGGGCCCTTCTCAGTCCTCACCTGACCTGACCTTTCAGTACATTTGAAACAGTCGACCCTCCCTCCGTGAGTGTCCTCACCGGCCTCCTGGGATACCGCCCACTCTCCAGTGTTCTCCTGCCTCACTGGTCTACTCCTCAGGCCCCTTTACTGGATCTTCCTCTCCTGACCTCCATGTGTTGATCTCAGGCTCAGTCCTTTGATCTCTCCCTTTCTGTCATTCAGACTTTCAATAGCATCTGTCTAAGGACTCTCCTTTTTGTACTGCAAGTTCTGACCTCTCCCCTAAGTTCCAGACTTTTCTAACCATCTTCTCAACACCTTCACTTGGCTGTCCAACAGCCACCTTACATGTACAATGTACAAAATTGAACTCTTGATCTTCTGCTTAACCTCCAGCCCTGCGTTGCCCCCAGTCTTCCATCGCTCTATAAACGGTACCAACCATCGCCAGAGGGGTTTAGGCAGGAACGAAGAGGTCATCTTTTCCTCCCCTGTATCTTACCCCTTACAACTGATCTGTCAGCAAATCTTTCTGGTTTTATTTTTAGTCATATCCCAAATCTATTCACTGTTCCCATCCTGTCCATGCCACCATCATCTCTAGCCTGGTTTACTGCCTCCCAACAGGCCATCTTGCTTCTATGCTTCCCCCTTTCAGCCTATTTACCACACAGTAGCCAGACTGACCCTTTTAAATCACGTAAATCAGATCGTACAGTCTTTCCCCTGCCCAAAGCTCTGCAGGTGTTCCCTGCCATACTCGTGGTGGAATCTCAAGGCCTTGTGTGATCTGCTGTCCTAGAAACTCCCCCTCACTGTGATCCAGCCACACTGGCCTTCCTACTGGTCTTCGAATACAGGAAGTTCATTTCCATCCTAAGGCCTTTGCATAGCTCCTCCTTCTGCCTGGAATGGTCTCTCCCCAGTTAGTCATGTGGCCTGCTCCCTCACTTAATTCAAATATCTGCTCAGATAATGTCACCAGCTCCTAAGTCAGCCCCCTCCCCCATGACCCTTATGTTCTTTATTCCTGTGTTTTTCTTTGTAGCACGTATCACTACTGGGCATCATTTTACATGTTTGTTTTTCTAACTCTCCCACTAGAACATTCCACGAGAACAGGGACTTGGCCTGCGTGTCTTTAGTGACACGTCCTCAGCACCTAGAACTGCACCCAGCACTTATGGAACTTCAGCAAATACTTAGTGAATGAGTGAATGAATGAATGGGTTGACCAAGGGTGCTGCAGCTCCTAAGGAGGAGTGTTTAGAAGTGAGGCTGCTGTCCACTAGGAGCCACGCTGCCAGCTTGCTAGGAATACAGTGCAGCTTACCAAGCCCGCCAGGCCCCAGAGGTTCCTGTCGAGCCGTTTCAGGAATCGGATCAGCTTCTTGTGCCTGTGGAACTGCTGTGCAGTTGCACCCAGGCAGCGAGTGTCCTTCTCATGGTGGCTGTAGAACTGCCGGAGCACGGTCGCAGCCCTGCAGAAGGTTTCCTTCTCAGTTGTGTTCTGGAAAGACAAATGCCACAGATAGCCATGTGCCAGCTCCATTTGGAGGATGGGAAAGAGATTTTTTCCTCTTGATTTCTTCTTTCCAGAGGGACAAATGGAGGTAAGTTTGCTCAACTACAGACCTGTCTTCAAGTATTCCACTGAAGGAGGGCTGCTTGCCACAGACATAAACCTCTGTCAACAACCTCTCCCAATTGTAAACGCAGCAGCCTTCTCCCCAGAACCCCCCCGTTTCCTTTCTCTTGGAGGATTTTGCTGAAAGGGTGCCTGAATAAAGCCACCCCACAAGGAAAGGGCACAGTGGGGACTAGAATGCAGGACCATCTACCGCTACAGCCCATGTTCTGCGTCCGTATCTCTATACCCCATGAGCTATTCTGCTATGGACAGTGCCCACATGAGCTCTCAGTCAGGTTCTGCTCTCGTTCCCAAAGGTTTTAAAGTCCAGCTTTCCCTGGAAATCCTGCATGCCTGTTGAATAAATGAGGGCACATCCTTTGGCCTGGACTCTGCTGCTTTGGGCAGCACTATCCGTTTGGTCCTCCCCATGGGAGAGGAGAGCAGCACATGGTCCAAGTGAGGAGCTAAGACATTACCCCAGGCAGCAAGAGATAAGTGTACAGATTGGGGAAAGGTGTCCTGGGAGATCAGGGGAGGCTCTGGGAGCAGGTGCCATTGAGCTGAGCGTTGGGCAGAGTTTCTGTAAGGGGCCTTTTGGCCCCAAGTGGTGCGGAGTGAGAATCTCCCTGGAACGCTGGCAACTGTGAGGGTCTGGCCACATGGCTCTTCCTGGGGCCCTTAACCTTAGAGAAGGGAATAGACACACAGGGAGACAAGTCATTGGGAACCCAGGAGAGGGATTCTCTCTCGGTCTGAACTGGTCTGTCCTCTCATTTTTCACTGAAGAACAAAGATGTAGAACTTAGAGAGGGTTCTTAGCTTGAGCCTAGTTCCTTTATCCAGTTGAGATAAAGCTATCCCCAGCGTCTCCCCCGACATGCTCTGGTCCCTTGCTACTCAAAAGTGTTGTCCATGACCAGAATCATGGACATCACTGGGAGCTTCTTAGAATACAGAATCTCAGACCACCCCTGCCCCACCCAGACCCTCTGAATCAGAAAAGTGACAAGATCCTCAGGGATTTCTATCGGCAGCACTGTCCAAGCAACTTTCAAGTTCTTACAGTTACATTTTTTTTTCCTGATGATCAAGGTAACGTGTATTTACTATAAAGGTAATTATATATTCAACAAAAGTACATTCACTCATCCCATCAGCCAGAGGTAACTACTGCTGTTAATATTTTGGTAAATATCATCACACTTTAAAAAACACTTTTTAAAATAGGGATCAACTGTTGATACTGTTTTGTAACTTTTTTACCCTTTGCATATACTATAAGCATTTCCTAAGCCCTTCGGTGGTATTTGAGAACATGGGTTTGAGAGCTGCATAGAAACGCATTGCAGAGTGGTGCTGTCATTTGTCAGGCCCCTTTACAATTGTAATTTGCCTTATTTACAGCAGCTTTCTGTTTCTGTAAATAAGTGGCAGTGAGTAAACTATATAAATCTTTGTGTTCATCTCTTATTTATATAGGCTACATTCTAGGAATGCAGTTCATATTTTAACGTTTTTTTTTCAGGAAGATCTAGACCCAGATTGAGGCACCAGAATCCCAGGCTACGGAAGCTTCCCCTTTCCTCTGTGGGGCGTGACGTCCCATGGGCAGAGCGGTTGGAAAGACATTTACTTAATGAACTGACTGAGAGTCACTCCTGGTTCCTGATTCTAGTTGGAAATATAAGAGTGTGTCAGTATTTTTGGGCTCTTGGAGCCAAGAGACAGACTTCTCTGGGCTTTGTGGGTGAGTCGAGGTGGAGGGGACACAAGGGCTGGTGGGGGGCAGCAGATGCTACCTGAGTGTCTGGAGGTGGGCAGACATGCATGCTGCTGCAGAGGGAACAGTGAGATTCAAGAAGGCCAAAAAGCCTTTGCTTCTTTTCCCACAAACCTTGGTGAGATTTTTCTGAAATGCTGGCTTGGAGCCTGGAAATTAAACTTAATTTTGACCCATATATGGCCACATAGTATAGGAAAAAATCCTCTAAAGATATTTTTCAAAGGACTTTCTAAAGGAAACAAGAATAAAATAAGAATTGAAAAGAGTTTGCATTAAATGGAAAAACTTTAAAAGAATACATCCTAAGGGCAGCTTTAGTGCAAGGCCTTTACATTTTAGTTGCTCTGGTATCGCAGCGAGGGGGCGACACTCCATCCTTGCTGTGACCCTAGACTCCTTCCACCTGCCTGTCTAGCTCCGGCTGCTGAGTGTGTCTCCCAGTGGCTCAGGAAGTGCACTTTGACAGCCTGGCTGACCTCACCGTTCAGAACTGCTTAGGGAGTGACTGAGAAGGAGGTCTGTCCCTCCCAGGAATGTCAGGAAACAGCCACTTGGGAGATTTCTTCTGTGGCAGTGACTCTGTGAGAGTTCTAACTTGGTTCTTGACCAGCCTCACTGAGGACCATACAAATCCAGCCCGACTGGCACTGCATTCATTATCTCCCATCCTGCCCAGGGTAGTCAGCTGGTGCTCTATATGAGAAACTCCTTCAAAAAACAGAGATATTTGAGGTTCATTATGGAACTCTCTGTAGAATTATGAACTTTAGCTCTCTTTGGTAAGTAGGAAATAGCTCCATCTACTCGTCCACCCAAGAAACCCTTCATCGACCAGCCAGCTTGCTTCTTCCCACTTTGCTGTTCCTCAGACAGCCTTGACTTCATAGACACCCCAACAGGTGTTACCTGTGAAGCCCAGGACCTAGATCAGTGCCTTCTTTCCAGCAACTGCCAAGAGTAGAATGCTACCCAACTTAGAGATAATAAAATTCTTGTTCCCCCTGAAGAAATAAGATCAATAGGCTGGATTTTGGAAAGATGTTTTCTTTGGGAACACAAAGAAGTACCTTTTCCTCTGCATACCACCTGTGTAGGTTTTTGAAAATAGCAACATTTCACTGTTCTGAAATATCTTAACATGTAAGTAAGCAGTGCTGAATCTTCGAGGGGAAGAAAAGAGTAGAAGAGTGAGATTGAGAACTCCAGGAGGATGAAGTTCGGGGAAGGCGAATGAGATAGGTAAGAGTAAAGGCAGGCAGTGGGGATTGTTCTAGGAGATGTCTGTGTGTGTGAGAGGGAGGTGAGTGAGGACTGAGTGAAGAGGGGAGTTAAGGACGGGAGGGCAGTGGTGTCCTCGCCTGCGCCTGGAGGTCTTCCAGAAACAGCCCAGATGGATAGCCCCAGGCTCGGCATCCTGGAGGGTTTGATCCTTTCCAACCTGGGCACCTCCTTCTTAGAATCATCGCTTCTCTGCAACGTGTCCTTGCTTTTAATCAGGGTTATATCATCTCACAATAACACTTTCCACTAACTCAAGAACTGGATTCCAATCAGCCTTGCAATCACCTTCAGAATCACTTTCGTATCTTCACACGTGGAAACTGAGGTGCAGAGAGGTGTGAAGATGTGCTGAAGGCCAGCCACACAGCTGTCAGTGGCAGAGCGGGGTCTAAAACCATAGGCAGTCTCACCTCCAGGCCCTCAACCCTCACCCTTCCTCCAGGCCTGGCATCTAGTGAGGTGGCCCTTCCCTTGGCTTTGTTAGAGCCTTCTCAGCAGTGCCACAGGCCTCCAGAGACCCAGTGCTCAACCCGGTGGACTCTTGGCTTCTAGTAGGAGCCATCTCGGTTGGAAGGACTTAGAAATTTTGTGTATATGTATACATACACACACACACAAACTGTTGTCCAGGTGCAGTGGCTAATCCCAGCACTTTGGGAGGCCGAGGTGGACGGATTACTTGAGCTCAGAAGTTCAAGACAAGCCTGGGCAAAATGAAATGGCAAGACCCCATCTCTACAACAAAAATACAAAAATTAGCCAGGCGTGGTGGCGCAGACCTGTCATCCCAGTTACTTGGGAGGCTGAGGTGGGAGGTTAGCTTGAGCCTGGGAGGTGGAGGTTGCTGTGAGCTGAAATCGCACCACTGCACTCTAGCCTGGGTGACAGAGCAAGACCCTATCTCAAAAGAAAAAAAAAAAAAAGTGTGGATTTGCCCTTCAGGAATCTCATCCTGTATTGAACTCCTGGGATAATGTTTAATGAATGAGATAGTCCAGATAAAGGCCCGAAGAGCAGTTTCCCTCATGAAGCAGGATGGGCCCTGTTCCATGGCCTGGGTGCCAGGGCGTGACCCTGCCCGACACACAGGGCTTCACTCCTGACCAGATCATCCCCCTAGGTCGCATGGAAAGCAGTAGTTAGGAGACCACTGTGAAATTGAGGCTTTGGGGCTTTCATTCTCAGCCGTGTGTTTCCATGAAAACAGGAACTGAAATGCACAAAACTATTGATACGGCTGTAGTCATGTGTTTGTCAGAGAAAATGCACTATCAGCTGTCAAATCTATCTCCTCCCACTACAGATAGAGGGGTGGGGGTGAGGCAGCACAGGAGGCAGAGCGGCGAGGTGCCCAGGCAGCCGGAAGCAGGGATGTGCTGGACGCTGCCCAGCAGGATGGTTCCAGACCCAGCTGGAGGGGAATTTGGCCCGCCAGAGCAAGCTGAGGAGTCCTGGACCGCCAGCCCTGGGACCCAGAGGGCTGTTAGGTGGCCAGGCTGTGGAAGAGGAGGGGCTCTGGTGATGCCTTTTCTGTTGCCATAGGAAGTCTCTTAGACAAAATGAAAGCTCCCTCAACCTGTCATCTCAATATCTGTTTCTGTGAGAGTATTTGGTTTTTCAGAAATGTATGGGCCAGAAAAATTCTCCCATTCAACAGGCATTTATTGAGTGCCTCCTACGTTGCAGGCACTATGCCAAAGCTAAGTAAAACCCAAGAGGGCTTTTCTTTGACCAGGATCTGAGTCAGGACTATAGCATGTAAGCTTTCTATTACACATCTTCTAAATCAAGTGAAACCAGAAAGACCAAAACACACTTAAGAGTAAAAATCAGACTTCTCGTTCTTTGAAAACATGTAACACCTTAGAGTTAATTTGGGCCCGCTTGTTTTCCATTAGACAAGTTTCTTATTCAGACACTTGGGGATGGATCTCCCCATTTGCTAAAACAGACCGTGGGATGGCTTCTTACCTTGGAGGCAGCAAGGATGTCCGTTACGGTCAACTTGGTGCACAGAGTCTTGGTCCAGGCAGAAATGAGAGAGCAAGAGACAGAGTTAACCTCTAACTGGACAGAGCAGTCCTTGATGAGCATCTCTCACTCCCTCCAACTGAGGAAACTTCCTACAAACCCTCAGAAAAAAGAGTGACAGGGGAAGCCTGGCTGTGTGCCCTGGGCTGCCACCAACCACCAGTTCCAACTTCTCTAGCAACTGTTAACGTTTTCATGGCCTAGAAATACTGACAGCATCACCAGAACATCTGGAGAGATGGTGCCAGATAGGTACTCACCTTCTGCTCTGTGAGGCTGTTCAGAGTTTCGATGATCTCCTGTAAAGCGATATGGCAGTTGTGTCCGTGGACAAAGTTGCCGGCACATGCTAGCAGGAAGAACAGAGGGGGAAGCAGTTGGGAGGTGAGACCCATTAATAGGTGTCAATTTGCAATGACAATGTGAGACAATTAGTTTATCAGGAGAAGCTAACGATGCAATGCTGACAAAGATATCTCTATATATAGATTTAAAATTGCTGAAACCGAGGGAAAATGAGTTTACATTGGAAATTTTCGTTACACCAGATTGTCAGTCACTTGGGGCCAATCAGCACCTCTCTTCCAGGAGAAAAAATGCCTCACAAACAGGTAAAATGTTCCTGTGAAATCAGACCAATAGGAAAATGAAACCTTTTTAAAAAAATTAACTACAAAGTTTCAGCATAGGAAATTACACCATAATTTGCTCTTTAGATTAATCTTATCAGCTTGGGGCTGCTGCTGGCTTTTTGCTTTGCATAGAAGGAAGAGGCCACAGGTGTCCGAATTTGTTGTAATGCAGTCCTCCTGGGGAAAGATAGAGTAATATCAAGAAAGTTTGACTTGAAAAGTATTTTAACCTGGCTTCTTCCAAGTACAGGTGGCATCTTGGAAACTGTCCTGTCGTGGAAAAGCTGATCTGGGGCTCTTTCTCTGCGTAGAGGGAGAATAACAGGCAGACTCTCCTGCCCCAGCACTGGGGGACAATGTTCTCCCAAGTTTAGGTGTTTGGAGAAGGACAGGTCACATCAGGTGGGCCTAGTTTGGGTCCCAGCAGGTCCATAAGGTTCTTACCCATAAGGAAGCCCTTGGCAAGGTAAGTCTATTCTGAGGTTTCAGGAATAACTTTTTTTTTTTTTTTTTTTTTCCTGAGACAGGGTCTCTGTCACCCAGGCTGGAATGCAGTGTTGTGATCAGGGCTCACTGCAGCCTCGACCTCCCAGGCTCAAGTGATCCTCCCACTTCAGCTCCCCCCAAGTAGCAGGTGCGTGCCACCGCACCATGCCTGGCTAATTTTTATTTTTATTTTTTGGTAGAGATAAGAGTCTCACTATGTTGCCTAGGCTCATCTCAAATTCCTGGGCTCAAGTGATCCTCCTACCTCAGTCTCCCAAAGCTCTGAGATTACAGGTGTGAGCCACCATGCCTGGCCAGGAATGCCCACTTTTTGAATGGAACCTAAACACATCCTCAGCTAATTAGGAAAAAGAGCTACAGTCTTATCAACTTACAAATCAGCTCTCCTTGTCAGTGCCCCACCACCTGCCCTGCTTGTTTTTTATTGAATTCATGTGGACACAATAAGGTGCTCATTGCCTCACCCCAGCCGTGAACGTAAGGACCCCGCCATTCACTCAGGTGCCTGGGCCCTGTGCACAGCCCACTCAGCCTCCCAGTAAGGGCTCATGGGCAGCAGGATTATTGGGCCCTGCCTGCCCTCTGCTTTTCTCCTGGAATCTTCCCTTCCCTTGGTCTCTGACCTTCTTTTCACTATGAATTCCCCTTTTTTTTTTTTTTTTTTTGAGACAGTCTCGCTCTGTCACCCAGGCTGGAGTGCAGTGGCGCAATCTCAGCTCACGCCAACCTCTGCCTCCCAGGTTCACACCGTTCTCCCGCCTCAGCCTCCCGAGTTGCTGGGACTACAGGCACCCGCCACCACGTCCGGCTAATTTTTTGTATTTTTAGTAGAGATGGGGTTTCACTGTGTTAGCCAGGGTGGTCTCGATCTCCTGACCTCGTGATCCGCCCGCCTCGGTCTCCCAAAGTGTTGGGATTACAGGCATGAGCCACCGTGCCTGGGCCTCCCTATGAATTTCTTCTGGAAGATCATCTAAAAATGTGTGTTGCTAAGGTTTTGCCTCTCTTCCACCCCCCCGACCCCCTCCCCCACTCCCCCGGCCGCCACACTCTGTCACCCAGGCTGGAGTGCAGCGGTGATCATAGCTTACTGCAGCCTCGAACTCCTGGGCTCAAGGCATCCTCCAGCCTCAGCTTCCCGAGTAGCTGGGATTACAGGCATATGCCACCACGCCTGGCTAATATCTGTATTTTTTTTTTTTTTTTTTTTTTTTTTTTAAGTAGAGACCGGGTTTCACCATCTTGGGTAGTCTGGTGTCAAACTCCTGGCCTCAAAATGATCTACCCACCTCAGCCTCCCAAAGTGCTGGGATTATAGGCATGAACCACTATGCCTGGCCAAGGTTTTGCCTCTGTTTGGGATCTTTTCTTCCCTCATTATTATTATTAAATTGACAAATAAATATTGCCTATATATTTAAGCTGTATGATATAATGTTTTAAAATGTGCATATGTTATGGAATTGCTACATCAAGCTAATTATACAGTACTTCACATATTTATTGTTGGTAAGAACTTTTAAAATCTACTGTCTTTGTGATTTATGTATTTACTTATTTTGAGATGGAGTTTCACTCTGGTGCCCAGACTGAAGTGTGATGGTGCAATCTCGGCTCACTGCAACCTCCGCCTCCTGGGTTCAAGCGGTTCTTCTGCCTCAGCCTCCCGAGTAGCTGGGATTACAGGTGCCTGCCACCACGCCCAGCTAATTTTTGTATTTTTAATAGAGACAGGGTTTCACCATGTTGACCAGGCTGGTCTCGGACTCCTGACCTCAGGTGATCTACCCGCCTTGGCCTCCCAAAGTGCTGGGATTATAGGGGTGAGCCACTGCGCCTGGCATCTCTTCATGATTTTTAAGTATACAAGACATTGTTATCAACTGTCATCACCATGTTGTACGGTGGCTCTCATGAACTTATTCCTCCCAACTGAAATTTTATATCCTTTGACCAACATCTTCCTGGTCACCACCCTCCCAGCCCCTGGTGACCATCATCCTACTCTCTGCCTCCCTGAGTGTGACTTTTTTGGATCTCACATATGTGTGAGATCATGTGGTATTTGTCTATCTGTGCCTGACTTTTTTCACTTAGCATAATGTCCTACAGGTTCATCCATGTTGTGAATGACAGGGTTTCCTTCTTTTTTAAGGCTGTGTAGTATTCCACTGTATATATAGTTTTGGATCTTATCGCAATGCCTCAAGTTCTGTGAAGGAGAGAATCTGGATAATTGTATCAGGAAGGTCCTTAGACCATATTTAGGATCCTTCCATTGGGACTGGGCAGCAAAGTTACCAAACTAAATGCAGTGGCTTCAGATGCCAAAGCACTGCGATGAGCCACACCTCACAGGTGAGGGGTATGGTCCCCCACAACACTGCCCTCACTTCAGTTGCCAGCTGCACATTCAGGGGTCCCCAGCTCACCCTCACTGCTGACTGACTGGCTGCAAATCTGGGAGTTTCCACTATCCCTCAGGTTCCAGAATTCACTAGGATAACTGACAGGACTCAGGAGAGTGCTGTACGTAAGGCCACAGTTTTATCATAACAAAAACATTCAAATCAGAACCAGCCAAAAGAGGAGACACGGGTGAGATGGAGGAGGGGCCCAAACACAAAACTCTCATTGTCTTCCCCCTGTGGCATCAGAGGCATCACCTTCTCAGCACTTTGACGTGTGACAAAATGCTGAGTATTTTTAAGCATGTAGGCTCACTTGAGCTTTGGGGTCCAGAGTTTTTATTTGAGTCTCATCATGTAGGTGTGGTTGATGGAATCACTGGCCACTGGGTTGAACTCATCTTCCAGATTTCCTTCCAGTAGGCCAGGCTGATATCACAAAACCTCAGTGGCGTGGCCAGCCCCTCCATGGTCATATTGTCAGCAAAAACTACCTAGGGCCCACCATGAGTCACTTCACTGGCATAAACTCTCAGGGTCCACCATGAATAATAAGATACTCCTATCACTTGGGAAATCCCTAGGAATTTGGGGCTGCCTCCTGGGAACTGGTGACAAGGATTAGCCACATTCTTTACTCCAAGGGTTTGTAGCTGGTGGGACCTCCCAAGAGCTAGGACAAAGGCCAGACTTCCTGGGTAAAGTTGGTTCTTCGCTGCACACACTGGGGGAGAGTTATGAGAAGAGCAGGTGGTTGCTTCCAAGGCAGGTGGGGACTTTGAATCTGATGAACTATTATGTGGAATGAAGTAGAGCAGCGGTTCCAGTTAACACAGGAGGGAGCTCATCAAGCTGCAGACTTGCTGAAGGGCTTCTGCCAAATAGGTTCTCAAGGAGAGTCGGGGGTGCAGAAGGGGAGCTGGTGGGGAGGGCAGGATTCTGGAGTGTCTGGCGGGCAGTGGAACAGCCATTTATGTGTCCAGCTGGTGTTTTTCTAAGCACCCACTAATGGGCAGAACCTGGGCTTGAGGCTCTGAGGGCAGAGCTGGTGAGTGAAAAGGGAATATTAGGTGGGCAGCTTTAGCTCAGAAGCAGAATCCAGCTTGTTTTGTTTGTGTCAATGGTGGAGTGGGGCCAAAGGTGAAAGGATAAACTGTCCAGAACATTCGAGAGTGACCAGGAGTCTCCCCAGAGGGCAGAAGTGGGGGATGGGCCATCCTTACCTGCAGGGACAGCACCATGGCAGGTGCGGCACGTGCGTAGAGATGGGGAAGGTGGGTGCCTGCATTGTCAGGGCAATGACAGAGGAGGGCAGTGACCTCCACCACAACCACTGCGAAGGAGTCTCCGAGCCTGCAGGGCCATGGGCAGTGTCTTGGTAGGGTGTGGTGGGACGGGCACCAAAGTTCAGGAGGGAGGTTGAAGACTGTGCTGTCTCTGGGTGTGTGGTTCACAGGCCCCTTCCCCTCCTCTGTGTGAGAGCTGAGAACTGGCGCTGGCTCCTCAATGGATGCAGAGTTTTCCCTTCAGGCCCTGGAACGTAGCAGTTATGAGCACTGGCTTAGGAGTCCAGCAAACGAGCCCTTATCAACTCTGTGACCATGGATAGATCATTAACTCTCCCTGGGTCTCGGTTTTCTCACCTGTGAAATGGGAATAATGTGACTCTTCCTTGTGAGGAGCAAGTGAGCGGTTCCATGGAAAGTACTTGGCATGGGTCATCCAGAAAGGGGGTCTGTTAACAGAGGCTGCTGTAGCACACGGTGGCTAAGAGAGTGGACGCTGGGCCCAGGTGGTCTGTCAGGCCTGGCTGCTGTGCCTCCTGGCTGTGTGACATTGGGCACGCTACTCAGCCTCATCTGTGAAATGGAGGTCATAGCTGTCCCTGTCTCATGAAGTTGCTCTGAGG